TAAAAATATAAATATATCGAAGGCAGCAGGTTTTGTGATTTTTTAGTAAAACTATTAAGCATTTTTTTTTTTTTTTTAAAAGGAAACCTCAACCGTTTAATATTATTGGATTGGGGTGTGGGCGTGGTGATAATGTTTTCGTGTAATGTGTAATTTAATTTAATAAAACTGATACTAAGATCGTGCCGGGAAAAATGGTATTATTTTGTTGAAGTAAAAAATTATCTAAAAATGGATACATTGATAGGAAATTATAATTAATTTTGGTAACTATTAAGGCAAGGCATTTGTTTGTTTTTTTAAAAACATTTTTATCTGCAGACAACTTTATAAAAAAAAGAAACCCAACCGTTTAATATTATTTGATTTGGGTGTAGGGGTGTATTATTTTTTGTCGTGTCATGTGCTGATACTAAGATCATGCGGGGAAAAACAGTATTATTTTCTTTTCAGATTAAGTATGAAGTAAAAAATTATCTAAAAATGGATAAATTGATAGGAAATTATAATTAATTTTGGTAACTGCATTTTTTTTTAAATTATAAAAATAAAATTTTTATATTTCAGATTTATACAAAAAAGGAAACCCAACCGTTTGATATTATTGGGTTTGAGTGTGGGTGTATGTAATTTAATTAGTAAAACTAATACTTAGATGGTGCAAGGAAAAACGATACTATTTTGTTTTTATATTATGAGTAAGAAAAATATCTGAAAATGGATAAGAAATTATAGTGAATGGGGGATGAGGGTGGGGATAGGGGGATAAAGATTGTGGATGGATTAATTTTGACTCGACTTCGACTCATTATTTTTCAGATTTATGTTTTCAGATTTCAAAATGGATGCATGAACAACAACAAAAAAATTGTAAGGTTGTAGTAGTTGATTATGTTTTAATATTTTATTATATATTCAAAATTTTTAAAATTAGAAAGATATTTATAAACTTGAGACCACAAGGATAATAAATATCGAGTAGTATATAGTATCTATATTGTAAACTATTAAGTTAGGGTCCGGAAAAAGAGGGTGGATTCAAGGGCATATAAATTTACAGGTCCAGGGTTAAGGGGTTATTTTTTTATCTTTTATTCCTAAGTCTAACACAAATTCTTTTTTTAATTTTTTTTTATTTAATATGGAATTGTGTTTGCAAGAGAAGGGATTCTCACATACAAAAAACACTGAAATGTGTGTTTATCCGTATGTAGAGATAGGTGCACACACCCACTACTAAGTCAAATCAACCTTACTGGTGAACTATTATATAACATCCACCCAACATTTATATTTACTTTAATACAGTATCCTTAGTCTCATCTCTTATATTGTCTTCAATAATATAAAAGGAGACTGTAGGAGCGAAACAATCATTAGGTTACAATTATTACACACATACACCCACCCACGTTCTTGATTATTATTTTTCCTCGTTTGGTATCGATGTCGAATTTCTTTTGAAATTCAAAGGGACTCTATCAAAGTACGAGAATCGTAGGTATACAATAAAACAAACATTCATTACACTTAATCCTACGGGTTGATTTATATTGTCGATAAATGTAGTGTACCGGGACTGGTTTACAGTGGATTCATTCACAGTCCTACCTTTTCTTAGGTTTTCGCTGGAGTCTGCTTAAAAGGATAGGGTAAATATCCTGTGCCATACGGGACAACTTTTTATAACAATTAATTTTTAAAGATTGAATAAATCTTTAAAGATTGTTATAGAAGGATTCTCCCCAGAAAACCAAAATTGCATGCAACTCTCTTATCTTCCTCTGGGGAAGATTTGATTTGTCTTGTCAATTAGATTAATACCCCCAACCAATACTTTTAATTTTTGAAAATATAACATATGGACCCTTACTTAGTAGGAAAACAAATTAAAATTTAGAAAGAGAGTACTAGGTATATTTTTTAGTATTGTTATCGATATACACCTCCAAATGGAAATTTTTACACAGTTAGATTTTTTAGTTAGGGGATATTATCTTTATTGGTTAATCTTTATCTAGGGGTAGAGTTATTATTCTCGATGGATTGGGGAGATCCCTCATCCATGATTAGTAACTCTCTCTAGAAACAAAAGACTGATCTTTAAGATTAAGAAAAAAAGATTTCCTTTCAGTGTCATATTATCACGCCGTTAAAGAATTATTGCATTTAGTGCTACCTAGGATAAAGGTTTGACACTGTAGTTCTTTAACAGATTCTAGTGATAATCGAGACTGTTATATAATTTTTTTACTCCCAAATTCGTAAAACAACATTCGGTAACAATATTTTATACTCGCTTACTCTGTCTGTGTTGTGTTATAATAAGAGAATAGTATATAGCTGAGGGAAGGGTCTCGCGGCTGGGTTACCAAATAAAACCCTCAATGTAAAGTTATATACTATATTAATTCTCTCCCAGCCGTGATCGCTATAGAGTTAAAAGACCATGTTTTTATGACGACGACGGCCTATAGACGAGATAATATTTGTATAAAATATTTTAAATTTTTCCGATAAAAAACATTAAAACTAATAAATAAATCTAGCTAGCAGCAACAATAATATATTGTTTTTTTTTTCTTCCTTATGTAATTAATGTAAAACTTATCTCTATATTATCCTTCGAAAAAATATATTATTGGTATCTATTAAATCAACCAGATAAAACTTACCTAATTCAGTCTATGGTGTAAAACAAAATGCAAAACAAAACATTATGCACTCCCATAGTGGTTTACACAGTTTAGATTCGTCATTAATAGTTGAAACCTCAATTTGTTCGTCTTCATCATTATTATCCTCTCCATTGTTATAATTATCAATTTGTTCCTGCAATACTACTTTTTCTGACATTTCTGAAATTTTACTGTGGATTGCTGTGGTCTTGTCTTACTTGCACTTTAAACACACGATTAAGCTGGTTAAGTAAAGTAAAGTAAAGTAGTACTTGTATGTACGTTCTTTATATACAATTCCTTCCCTCTTATATAAATTACTGCCAAACTAAATGCCAAATACTTGTCAAATACTTAATTTCACTGAATGATAAACCCATTAGGTTTTCCACAACATATTTTTGGGGGGTTATAAACTCTTAAGGATGGATGACAATAAATGTTAAGAAAAACACTAACCTTTCAAGACTAACATTTATTATTTAGACTTAGTGTTAACAAAAAACATTTTTTACAAACAAAACATAATAGTTTCTTATTTACTAAACAATATCCAAGAAAGTTATATAATGTTCTTTTTTACAATTATATGGAGGCAACCAAAAAAAACAGTCCAATGCCATTCCATCATCATATTCTAACATCCAATTATCATATTGTAATTGGATTAAATTAAGTTTATATTTACTTAAAGATGAAAAATTTATTGGATTGTGATATTTTTCATCTATTATTTTAACCCTATTATCGTTATCAGAAAATGATGGAAAATATATTGGATTGTAATAGCTTTGATCTATTATTTTAACCTCTTCGTCAGGAAAATAATTGCATAAGATAAGATAATCTATAATACATCTTTTTTCTAATGGTGTATAATAAAAACTTCGAGCAATTATATGGAGAAATACATTAGCATAACATGTTATAAAAATGTCTCCTGAAAAAAGAGAATATTTTTTACTTTGATATAGTAGTAATTCACTATAAAGAGGAGCAAATATTTCATTTCCTTGTTTTGCTAAAATTTTAATATGTATATTCACATATTTATTATACTCAAATTGTAGTGTATATACACATAATTCTAATTGAATAAATTTATCAGAAATAATATTCATTAGACATTCTGTAAATGCATCATTTCTTTCCATCCATGTTGTGTGAAATCTAAAATTTTCTTGAAATTTAGATTTTATCATCGTTTTGCAAAACCTTTTCAAAAAGTATAACAATCGGTCTTTTTGTAAAGTTTTGAACTCTATTATTGAATCTAGACACCAATCATTTTGTAAAATATATGTGAGCAAAATATATATAAAATCATTTATAAACAGAAACATTTTTTTTCTAATAAAAGCTATATAAAGGGAAACTTTAAATTTTCAAATTATCTTTTTATCCCTCCCTATCTCTCTCTCTCTCTCTCTCTCTCTCTCTCTCTCTCTTCCCTTCCATATATATTCTATACTGGTAAAAGAAATATTTTTATTTATTATAAGTGAAAAATTGAAACTTGTTAACTTTCTGAAATTTTTCTGTGGATTGCTGTGGTCTTACTTGCACTTTAAACACACGATTAAGCTGGTTAAGTAAAGTAAAGTAAAGTAGTACTTGTATGTACGTTCTTTATATACAATTCCTTCCTTCTTATATAAATTACTGCCAAACTAAATGCCAAATACTTGTCAAATACTTAATTTCACTGAATGATAAACCCATTAGGTTTTCCACAACATATTTTTTGGGGGGTTATAAACTCTTAAGGATGGATGACAATAAATGTTAAGAAAAACACTAACCTTTCAAGACTAACATTTATTATTTAGACTTAGTGTTAACAAAAACATTTTTTACAAACAAAACATAATAGTTTCTAAAGATGAAAAATTTATTGGATTGTGATATTTTTCATCTATTATTTTAACCCTATTATCGTTATCAGAAAATGATGGAAAATATATTGGATTGTAATAGCTTTGATCTATTATTTTAACATCTTCGTCAGGAAAATAATTGCATAAGATAAGATAATCTATAATACATCTTTTTTCTAATGGTGTATAATAAAAACTTCGAGCAATTATATGGAGAAATATATTAGCATAACATGTTATAAAAATGTCTCCGGAAAAAAGAGAATATTTTTTACTTTGACATAGTAGTAATTCACTATAAAGAGGAGCAAATATTTCATTTCCTTGTTTTGCTAAAATTTTAATATGTATATTCACATATTTATTATACTCAAATTGTAGTGTATATACACATAATTCTAATTGAATAAATTTATCAGAAATAATACTCATTAGACATTCTGTAAATGCATCATTTCTTTCCATCCATGTTGTGTGAAATCTAAAATTAAAATTTTTTCGAAATTTTTATTTTATCGTCGTTTTGCAAAACCTTTTCAAAAAGTATAACAATCTGTCTTTTTGTAAAGTTTTGAACTCTATTATTGAATCTAGACACCAATCATTTTGTAAAATATATGTGAGCAAAATATATATAAAATCATTTATAAACAGAAACATTTTTTTTCTAATAAAATTTTCTGGATGGATTTTCTACTTCATTCCAGTTGATCCAAAACCATCAGCACCTCGTTCTGTGTCCACGAATTCCTGAAAAATTGATAATCATTAGTACCTTGGATCTCCATGCTTGACAACCCCACTGCACCATCCCAAAGTCTAGGCCTTAGCTCTACAGAACACTGTATATTTCTTGGTTGCTTAGTAAGTAAACCTTTTCAACTCCCGTCCCTAATACTCTTATTTTGTATTTAATTACATATATTTCTATAACTTATTTTTTTTCAAATACTCAGTCCCTATCAAACATTTCATAATGAGGAATTGTCCCCCATAAGAATTAATGCAATTAGAGTACAGTATATGTGTTTCAACATCTATTATACAATAATACTTCTTAAAATCTGTAAATCTGCTGATTGCCTTTGTAAACAAGCAACGGGAATTTAACACAACATTAACTCGCATGTGTATTTGGTGATCTACCACTATCAATTTATTGGCCATTTAATGTTGACCAGTACAGTATGTTCTTTGTTACTGTTAAGACCTTTAAGGCTGGTTATTAAAATATTGGACTCAAGACACAGAAAAAGAAGATAAACTGACACAAACCTCAACTTCCTCTATATCTGGATACACGATTTTTTCACATATGAGCTGAGCTACTCGGTCACCCTTTTTTACTTCAAAATCAGTCTTGGCGTGGTTGAAGAGAACAACGCCAACATTTCCCTGGTAGTCTCGGTCAATAACACCGGCTGAAAGGGTAGCCTCAAATAAACATGTATCTAACCTCAAGAATTTAACGTAAATGATGATAATGAGAAAGCAAGAAGTGAGATTAAGAAACATACCCAACCTCTTGAGACATGTAAGGCACTGGCCATGACAGAGTTAAATCAAGCCAATAATTTCCACAAACTTCATTTACTAAATGGAAATTAAAAGTACATACATACAGGTATACTTGACTTTCCTATAGTAAACACAAACAAGGTAAATTTTGTAATATTTAGTTTCAAAATTAGCTAGCTTAATATGAATTAAACCAAAAATAGACATTAACCTCCAACATCAATGTGATTCTTCCAGGAAAGACCAGATCGTGGTGCCACCCTGCCATAACAATCTTCTGGTAACTCTACCTGTATGTCCGTCTTGATGAGAGCTTTGCCCTGGCCTGCAATTACTATATCATACGCACTGAAAAAGGGAAATAAGTTGCCACTTTTTAAATATTCATTCCCGTAGTTAAAGTTAAAATAACTAAATTAACATTCAAATAATCCACCAAATCAGAGCAGACTGTCTTATTGAAAAATAACAGTGGTACACACATGATGCCAAAAGCCAAGAATTAAAATGAAAAACAGCCTACAGTAAAGTACAGTACATCAATAATCATCACAGCAACTGAAGAAAATGGACATAAGATCAACAATGGTGGTTCACCCCTACCTGCTCAAGTCAAACCCGGCGGCCAGTTTTGAACCTTTACTGGGAGTTAAAGCATTCCCTGACAGCTTCTTGAACCGTAGGACACTTCTGACGGTGGAAGGCATGATACTGATACTGAAGATGGTGTTACAGCAGCAGTGAGGTGGACGGGAATACAGCACACTCGGTTTCAATCCCCACATAATAACATTTAAAATCTGGTAACTAATGCTTTTGTAATAATTTAAAATCAATATAAACGAAATTAATTTTTATATATACTTATTTTGTCGTCTAATTTACAATGAGGCAAAAAAAATTCAGTGGGGTGGGAGGAGGAGTATTTACTTTATTCAGGATAATGACTGCTGCCGAATTCTTAAGAGATAGTAATTTATCGGTGTCCTTTGTTGAATATATTTTACCCTCAGGCAATTCTACCAGACTGCATTACTTAAATTCCTGCCCCACATGTTACAAAGAAAGTTCAAATAACAGGAAATTTTGACTGGTGGTGGGGCTAATTATCTTTTTCGTATTTGTGTATTAATTTTATTATTATCTAAACAGTTACTTTTTTTTTAAACGAAAATTGGTATCTTTCAGACTTTATTAAAAAAATGAACCATCCGTTTAATATTATTGGGTTTTTGTGTGGGTGTGTTAATTAATTATAAAATATTTCGTTATAATAAGTAACCTTTAACGTATTATTTAACCTTTATCTTTTTCGTATTCGTGTGATTTTTATAATGTGAACGAACTGATTGTGATTGTAATTAATTTTATTATTATTAAAATGTTAAAAATATTTAGTATTTAAATTAACAGGAAATTTTGAATGGTGGTACAAAAGACTGACTTACCTAATCCAGTCTATGGTGTAAAACAAAATGCAAAACAAAACATTATGCACTCCAAACTAAATGTAAAATACCAATTATAAACTCATTAGGTTTTCCACAACATACATCCATATTACTTAAGAATATTTTCTCTTAGAATATTTTCTTTTTACTTGGGGGATACAGAGGCAGGTGAGAGGAGGAAGGTGGTGAGGGTTACGCTACTTCCCTCAAACAACGACCTTGTCTTTAACAACCTTTACCTTTTAAAAACTAGGTAACATGTAGTTTGCTTCCTTCAAATGGGAAAAAGGAGTTGCCAATTATTCATACCCACCAACTATATATACCCCTCCCCAACATGAAGTAGCACCACACTTCCCATTAGACTGCCCACGGATAGATCGATTATTGGGTTTGGGTGTGTTAACCAAACTATTTGACAGACAGACAACAATGTTAAATAGTGACAGCGACGACAATGAAGATCCTGATACACCAGCAAATACAAGTACAAGTGAAATCAACAGAAAATTATTTGAAGAAAAATTATTTGCACAAAAATTTTGTAATAAACGGTTATTTTTTACTGATACAAAATTGAAACAATATATAGAAATAATTGAAGCAGCCAAGAATAAAATTACTACAAAGACGCCTCAAGAGTATGCTCTTATTCGCCGATACGATGTAATTTACAAATATGGTGTTAAGAAATTAATAACTAAATATTTGAAAAATGGGCAAGAAAAAGTTTTTGTTAGTGTCTGTGAAATTTATGATAATATTAAAGATTCACATCTTACTATTGGACATGGAGGGGAGAAAAGAACTTATGTAGAATTGAAGAAAAAAATTGCCAATATAACCTTAAAACAAATTAAACTCTTTATTTCATTATGTGAAACATGTCAACTAAAACGTCGTCGACGTACAAGGAAGGCAGAGGTTGTTAAACCTCTACTATCTAGCAGTTATGGATCTAGAGGTCAGATTGATTTGATAGATATGCAGAAAGAACGTTTTGAAGATTATAAATTTATTCTACATTATCAAGATCATTTAACCAAATTCTCAATTTTACGGCCATTAAAGAATAAACAAGCTGACGAAGTAGCTTATAACTTGTTACAAATATTTAGTATAATTGGAGCTCCTAAGATTCTCCAAAGTGATAATGGTAGAGAATTTGTAGCATCTATTATTAAGGATTTAACAGAAAACATCTGGCCAGACCTGTATATAATTAACGGAAAACCTCGTCATCCTCAGAGTCAAGGAAGTGTAGAGAGAGCTAATGGAGATGTTATGCGAATTTTAAATAGCTTTTTAAAAGATAATAACACCCCGAACTGGGTTATTGCTCTCCCCTTTGTTCAAATGGCCAAAAATTCTGCTCATAGTGAAGGAATTAATATGTCTCCATATAAAGCTGTTTTTGGTAAAGATCCAATAGTGGGGATGAAGTCAAATTTACCATTAGATATATACAATAAGCTTAAAATGTATGTTAAAACTGAAGAACATTTAATAAATGTAATGTGTAGTAAACAACTACAACGACGACAACAACATCAAGAAGAAGGAGAACAACAACAAGAAGAAGACGAAGAAGAAGGAGAACAACAACAAGGAGAAGAACAACAACAACAACAAAGAGAAGAACAACAACAACAAGGAGAAGACGAAGAAGGAGAACAACAACAAGGAGAAGAACAACAACAACAACAAGGAGAAGAACAACAACAACAACAAGGAGAAGAACAACAACAACAACAAGGAGAAGAACAACAACAACAACAAGGAGAAGAACAACAACAACAAGGAGAAGAACAACAACAACAACAAGGAGAAGAAGAACAACAACAACAAGGAGAAGAAGAACAACAACAACAAGGAGAAGAACAACAACAACAACAAGAAGAAGAACAACAACAACAACAAGGAGAAGAACAAGAAGGAGAAGAAGGAAAAGAACAACAACAAGAAGAAAAAGAAGAAGAAATTACAGGAAGTATTATTATAGTTTTTTAAGTTCCTTCCAGTGTTATTTCATTTGAAATTAATAAGTAAAACAATGTATTAATCAAATTTTAATGTTTTTTATTTTTATTATAGATGAGAGACTACCTATCAGGAAGTACACAGACAAAAAGAAAAGAAGAAAGTATTATTATAGTTTTTTTTAAGTCAGTGTTATTTTATTTGAAATTAATAAGTAAAACAATATATATTAATTAAATTTTAATATTTTTTTTTATTATAGATGAGAGACGACCTATCAAGAAATAAAAAGAAAAAGAAGAATCGTATACAACAAGTAGATGATGAATTATCATTGCATGAAGAGGATGCCAGTAGTAGTGTAAACATAAATATACAATCAATACATAATAATAGGCATTTAGCCCAACAAACTCAGAAAATGAATGCTAAAAAAATGTTGTCACAAAAAAACAAATCATCTTTCACAGTTAATGTTAATGATAAAGTTCTCGTACCTATTCCCTCAGTTGACAGACATAAAATTGGACCAATTAATTTAATAGGAATTGTATCTGAAATTAATAAACAAAAGGGTTTATATAAAGTAATAACACCCCATGGTGAACTTAAACCAAGATTAATGAAAAATCAACTAGAACTGTATGGTAATGTTAATACACCAATACCACCACCACCATCATTACCACAACCACAACATTCACTATCATCATCACCACAACCACAATATTCACCATCATCATCACATCATCATCATCATCAGTATCAACACCACCAAGACAATTATCACAATTACCACATGTCAAATTATCTATACGTAAGGCTGCAAGACTTCAAACTAAGAGTTTAGGGATTCGTAGAGAAAGTACTAGAAATAGTGTAGCTTGTAAATGTAAATCTATTCCATGTAGAGATAAACGATGTGCATGTTTTAAAAGAAGTAAAAAATGTAATAATATGTGTGTTCACGGTACAAATGAATGTAAAAATAATTAAATGATTAATCTTAATGTTTTGTTATATTATTAAAACATATTGAAATCTAAATTCTTCAAAAGATCTCATTTTCCACTGACCTACACAAAACTTTTGTGGAATTATGGTAAGGAGATAAGAGAAATATTTCTGCGGGAACATTGCATCCATTCATCCACATTTTATTAAAACTTTTTCTTCTATGTTTAAGAATTTTGATGATAGTTATTTTCCTTGAGCCTTAAAACTCAGAGGAAAGGGGGTAAAAAACAAGCCTTAGGTAGTAAAAACAAAACTTATCTTAGTAGAACAATACAAAACTTATCTTAGTAGAACAATAACAGGTTGGGGTATACAACAATAACAGATCGCACTCTTTTCTCTCTAATCCTGTCTACACTTGTAATTTACAGGTAGGACAATGGTGGAACTGTTCTTTCTTGTAGTTTTCTTCAAGACTTTGACGTTTTTTCTCTAGAAGAAGCTCTTGTATAATGTTTCTAGGAGTATCAAGAAACTCTTTCTCCAATATTACATTTGAGAAATTTGTGATTATGAAGTCCCGTGAAGAATCCAGCAGTGGTACTAAATTATGAGCTACAGCTAACCTGTGTTTAGAAAAATATGGAATTTATATTGAATACTGTACGTCAAAAATGGTAAAGTTTACAAAATTAGAATATTTTTTAATAATTTACTTAATAATTTACTTACATACCTGTATAATTTTAAAACATTGGATGACTGAAGTTCACTTGTGAGAAAGGCCGCGCAAACACATACAGCATGGTGAACTTTCAGAATGTTTGCAGCAACTATTAACTCTTGAGCATTTTCCGTTGTTATCTCAATGTTTCCTAAAGATTTAAAATATTAAAATAAATTTTTCATAATAATTAATAAAATAAAAATACCGTTTTACATATAGCAATATGAAAAACATGTGTTTTTTACATATATGACAAACATGTGTTTTTCCTTTTATCTTACCAGTATACATGAATCGAATGATCCGAATTAATATATTGGATTTCATAAACTTCATTTCTATTGAAAAAGACTGTGTTGTTTCCTCAGCTAATCCACCAGTAAACATATCCTTAAAATATTCACTTCCCGCCGAGAGTATTACACGATGAGCCTGGAATAAAATGTTTGTTGTATACAGTATATAAAAATCTTCTTCACTTTTTTATTCATTTCAGACAAAGCTAGTTAAAACAACTTAATATACTAGCAAATTTTCTTACCTTCACAATTGATCCATCAGCTGATGATATTTCTACATCACAGAACTGTTGTTTCTGCCAGAGTGAATGTAAGTTCTCTAGCAAGTCATTCGGATAAGAGAGCTCCACCTCTAGGAAGTCGTTCGGATAAGAGAGCTCCACACGTGCCGCCATTTCATATAAAAGACCTAATATACCTGTGATTACTCGGTACCCCAATTATAACGTTTTCTCAATATATATACTACATCTCAGTTAAAAATTACCAGATATCACTACCCACCACCAGACAACTCAACTCTGGATGAATAGTATTACATTTGTTTATTAGTAATATATGAGGATGGCGGCAGCACGTGTGGAATTCTCTGATAATGGGGAGGGGGAATGTAAATCTAACCTGCTAGAAAACTTACATTCACTCTGGCAGTTACAAAAGTTTTGTGATGTAGAAATATCATCAGCTGATGGATCAATTGTGAAGGTGAGAAAACATTATTTTTTAACTGAAATAACTGTAAAAACTGTCGTCGTCTTTCCTGTTTGTACTTAACACAACTATTTTTATTATTTCAGGCTCACCGTGTAATACTTTCGGCGGGAAGTAATTATTTTAAGACAATGTTTACCTGTGGATTAAGTGAGGAAACAACACAGTCTTCTTCAATAGAAATGAAGTCTATAAAATTTAATATATTAAAACAGCTCATCGGATTTATATATACTGGTAAGGATAAAGAAAAACTTTTTAAAAGTTAATAGAAAGTGAGTAATGTAAAACTAAAAACGATATTTTTTATTTTGTTGATAGATTGTTTTTTTTAAATCTTTAGAAAACATCGAGGTAACAGTGGAAAATGTTCAAGAGTTAATTGTAGCTGCAAACATACTTGAAATTCACCATGCTGTACGTGTTTGTACAGACTTTCTTAAGAGTGAACTTCATCCATCCAATGCTTTAGGAATTTACAAGTACGGTTTTATGATTCAGTTCAGTTGATTATGTTACCTATATGTACGTACAATAAATAAATCTATTAGGAATAAATCCATTGTTTTTGTTTTTTAAACAGGTTTGCTGAGGTCCATTATTTAGTAAACCTGCTGTCTGCTTCGCAGGACTTCATCTTTTCTAATTTTGTAGAAATTACAATGGAACAAGAGTTTTAGGAATAATTTGACTCAACTTTCTTTCTCTTCTCTTCTTGATACTTCCCCAAGCTCAAGAAGCTCAAGAATATCTAACAGAGAAATTTAAGAGTCCTCTTCTTCTTCTTCTTCATTCTTTTCAACAAACACACACTTAAAATAAAAATAAAAACTGAAATTAATGTATAGTTTTTACTTATCCATCCCAAGCTGCTGTACATTCAACACTACCACTATTTATAAAAGAACGCTGGTGATGATTAGTATTAACATTAGTATTTGAGAATGGCAGCGGCACATGTGGAGCTCTCTCATAACGAGAAGGAGGAGGAGGAGGAATGTAAATCTTATCCGAACTACCTGCTAAACTACATACATTTCCTCTGGCAGTCACAACAGTTATGTGATGTAGAAATATTATTAGCTGATGGATCAGTTGTGAAGATGAGTGAGTAAGAAATTACATAAAATCACACTTAAAAGTATGTCCTCAATCAATCTATGTACCTTCCCCCACTACTTTTACAAAAATCTGATGGGGATTACATTTTATTCCACAGGTACTGGTAAGGGAAAATATTTTAAGTTTTCATAGTAGGTTATGCTGCTATCTATATGTAAAATTTTTATTTTGTTGCAAATGAATAAATGAAATTTTTTTCTTTTTTTGTAAAAATACTTTAGGAAACCGAGATAACAGTGGAAAACGCACAGGAGTTAATTGTGGCTGCGAACATGCTGTTCATGCCCCGTGCTGTACTTGTTTGTACAGACTTTCTCAAGAGCGAACTTGATCCATCCAATGTTTGGGGAATTTACAGGTAACGAATTTTTATTTTGTAAATTTTTTTATTTTGTTCTGTTCTGTTTTAATTTGATTGATTCTGATTCGATCTAATCCGATTCTAGAGAGGATGTGTTCCTTTTTTTTTTTACAGGTTTGCTCAGGCCTATTATTTAGTAAGATTGTTGAATGATTCGCGGGACTTCATCTTCTCCAATTTCATAGAAGTGACAATGGAACGAAAGTTTCTTGAGATTCCTAAAGAAACTCTACTATATTTTTTAGATTCGGAGTATCTTCATATTGACTCTGAGTTTCAGGTAAATATTAGATATTTTTCTTTTTATTTAATATTTATTTATTGAAAATTTTATTTATTTTTTTTTTTTTATTGCAACTCTCACTTTCTTTTTCTTTTCTTTTGTTATATTGCAGGTATTCTCTGCTGCCATCAGATGGATTAGTTATATATGAGGATGGCAGCGGCACGTGTGGAGCTCTCTGATAACGGAGAGGAGGAGTGTAATTATCCTTATCCAAACAACCTGCTAGAGAACCTAAATTCGCTCTGGCAGTTACAAAAGTTCTGTGATGTAGAAATATCAGTTGATGGATCAGTTGTGAAGGTGAGAAAACATTATTTTAACTTTTTTATTATTTTTTGTCAATAATTGAAAAAAAATATCTTGTATATGTACAACCAACCAAATTCTTTTATTATTATTCCAGGCTCACCGTGTAATACTCTCGGCGGGAAGTAATTATTTTAAGGCCATGTTTACCTGTGGATTAACTGAGAAAACAACATATTCTTCAATAGAAATTAAATCTATGAAATTTAATATATTAGAGCAGATCATCGGATTCATATATACTGGTAAGTAACATTTCAGTTTTCATATTTATAAAAAAAAAACGGTATTTTTATTTTGTTACTTATATCTTAATCTTTAGGAAACATCGAGGTAACAGCTGAAAACGTTCAAGAGTTAATAGTTGTTGCAAACATGCTGGTAGTTCCCCACGTTGTACGTATTTGCACAGACTTTCTCAGGAGTGAACTTCATCCATCCAATGCTTTAGGAATTTACAGGTAACGTGACTAATTTTTATTTTGTAATTTTTTTATTCTTGTTCGGTTCTGTTTTAATTTGATTAATTCTGATTCGATCTGATTCGATTCTAAAGAGGGTGTGTTTATTTTTTTTTTTTTACAGGTTTGCTGAGGCCTATTATTTAGTAAGCTTGTTGAATTGTTCGCGGGACTTCATCTTCTCCAATTTCGTAGAAGTGACAATGGAGCAAGAGTTTCTTGAGATTCCTAAAGGAACTCTACTATATTTTTTGGATTCGGAGTATCTTCATATTGACTCTGAGTTTCAGGTAATTATTAGATATTTTTCTTTTTATTTAATATTTATTTATTAAATAAAAAATCTAATTTTTTTGTGGTTTATTGCAGCTAGCTCACTTTCTTTTTCTTTTGTTATATTGCAGGTATTCTCTGCTGCCATCAGATGGATTACACAAGAAATAACTGATAGACTTTGTTGGATTCTTGACATTTTAAAACGAGTAAAATTATCTTTAATTTCAAGTAAACTAATAGAAAAAGCAATTAATGAGTGCTCTGACATCAGATTGAAAGTTAACCTTAAACAGCAGATAAATTTGGCTAAAGAGGAAGCCTCCTTTTATGTCCAGCCAAGAATTTGTACTCGAAAGAAAATTTATGTCATAGGTGCAAGGAGCGAATGGAGTAGATTCAAGAAGTTTAAATATTTTAACTTGTGTAAAAGTGTAGAATGTTTTGATACCTTTAGGAAGGAATGGCAGAAAGTTTGCCCGATGAAAAAAAAAAGTGAAAGGCCAGAAATAGCAGTCTTACATGGGAAAATTTTCGTTGTTGGAGGGAGGGGACCCAGACCCTTTCCGATTTTGGCGGATGGCGAAGTTTATAATCCACAGGAAGATAATTGGACTGGGATATCTTCTATGGTTACCCCACGATGTGATTTTGGATTATGCGCTCATGGAGGTTACCTTTATGCCTTCGGTGGGGGATCGGTCGTCGTCGAAAAAAGTATTGAAAGATATGACCCTATTACAGATGAGTGGAGATTATTAGAGTCAAATATGCCAGAAGCTAGATCCAAGTAAGTACAATTGTAATGTTAAAAATCAACCATTTTCAAATTAGGTTTACTGACTGATAGTAACTGATAATGAGAAAATGTAGCAGTGGCCTGTACTTTTTTTTTTTGTCTTTTTCTCCTTTTCTTTTCTTTTACAGAATGGGTATAGTAGAACATCGAGGTCTCATTTACATTATGGGTGGATATACGGACACTCACAACGCCGCCCTGCGTGATCTTCTCTCATACAATCCTGTGACTGAGGAGTGGAAGAATCTAGCACCAATGCTAGGTGAACGATGTGACACGATAAGAGTTGCAGTTTTGAATAACTTTCTGTACGTAGTAGGTGGTACTGAGTTTGAGGAAATGGAAAGATATTCTTTTGAACAGGTAAGATTATTTACCGTGGAGTGCTTATGAATTATTATTATATTGTAGCCAGCCAGATGTGAAGAATATTTGTAATACTGTTGGTAAATAATTGTATAACCTCCCTCCCTTCCTTTTACCTTTTTTTCTTTTACTTTCCCACAGAACAAATGGTTTGAGTGTTCATCAATGTATTCCGGTCTAAATTCCCCAGCAATTGTTGCTACAAATTCTCTGTTATATTTCATAGGCGGTGACATTAGAAATGATGATGGACAGGTAAGGAAGACTGAAAAGAATGATTAATGAAAACTGATAATATTTATTAATAATCTTTATAATCCAAAGTTTTAACCTAAACTATTTTTTTTTCTTTTTTTTTAGCTACTTGACACTGATGTGAATGTGGAGTATTTCGACCCTAAGAATAATAGGTGGATACACTGTACATCACTTCCTGAGGCTCGGATTGATACTAGAGCAGTTGCAATTTGACAATCCTATCTGAACTACCTGCTAATGTAGAAATATTATCAGCTGATGGATCAGTTGCAAAGCCATTTAAAATAAAATAAAAATTAGAAAAATTTTCTATCTTTTTAACTTACCTAACATGAAATTTGAAAGTATCCTTATAATTGTTTAATTTCACATTTGCTAACCGGCCAAGTTTAGTAAGCACTCAACTAACCTAACACACAAATATTACATTTTAAGTCCATGAAATCTTGAGTATATCTCTCCTCTAGTTACAGCCTGGCATTTGATATTATTAACATAATATGTACCGGGAACTGATATCTCTTCTCTCCCAAGCTCAAGCTCAAGAATATTCAACAAGAAACTTTCAAGCCCTCTTTATCCTCCTCTCATCCTCTTTAGCATACATACACACACACTTAAAAAAAAAAAAAAATGTATTACCTATCCCAACATACTGAAAGAAAGAGGCTGCTGGCTGTAGTTTAGTTTTGTTACTGTTTGAAGAAGCAACGGAAGCACCACCACCACCACCACCACCACCACCACCACCACCATTACGGGTATTACCAGATATCACCACACCACTAAAAATAAAACTGACAACTAGTTAGTATTACATTAGTATCTGAAGATGGCGGCTGCACATGTGGAGCTCTCTCATAACGAGAAGGAGGAGGAAGAGGAATGTAAATCTTATCCGAACTACCTGCTAGACTACATACATTTTCTCTGGCAGTCACAAGAATTATGTGATGTAGAAATATTATTAGCTGATGGATCAGTTGTGAAGGTGAGTAAGTGAAACATTTATCTGTAAGTGAAGAAACATTTACTCCTACCTACATATCTTTCTTTGCCTGCCCTCCATCACCCACCCACCATTTACACACATATAGGGGGAGGGAAACTTAACTACACTGCCCACATTCACCGTCCGTTTAGGAGAAGTCAGTGGAACATGGTTTAACAAAGTATATCCAGTATAGTAGAAGAAATTTCCCTGTTCCCCCAACTTCCCTTCTTCTCCGACACAAATAAACTGTTCCCCCAACTTCCCTTCTTCTCCGACATAAATAAAGAGTTACTTTCCAACTTTCTTCGCACGAGAGAATCAATGTTTCCAAGCAGTGATTTGATTTGGGCGGTTTGCTTCCTAGCAGTGGTTTGATTTGGGCGGCTTGCTTCCTAGCAGTGGTTTAATTTTGTTGTCTGTCTGTCCATAATTCTCTCACTTTTATGTAATCTGATGGGATTACATTTTATTCCACAGGCTCACCGTGTAATACTGTCAGCGGGAAGCGAATATTTTAAGACAATGTTTACGTGTGAATTTGCTGAGAAAACAAAACAGTCAATAGAAATGAAGTTTATGAAACCCAATATATTACAACTGCTCGTCGACTTCATATATACTGGTAAGGGAAAATATTTTAAGTTTTCATAGTGCTATGCTGCTATCTATATGTAAAATTTTTATTTTGTTGAAAATTAATAAATGAATTTTTTTTTCTTTTTTTGTCAAAACCTTTAGGAAACATCAAGATAACAGTGGAAAATGCACAGGAGTTAATTGCGGCTGCGAACATGTTGATGATATCACGTGCTGTACTTGTTTGTATAGACTTTCTCAAGAGCGAACTTTATCCATCTAATGCTTTGGGAATTTACCGGTACGTGCAGTATAATAATAATTAATTAATTATTCTCCAACTGTTTATATAATATGTATTTTTATCTGTCCTATACGTATTTTTTTTTTTTTTTTTTTAAACAGGTTTGCTGAGGCCCATAATTTAGTAAGGTTGCTGCATTCTTCCCGGGACTTCATTTTCTCCAATTTCGTAGAAGTGACAATGGAGCAAGAATTTCTTGAGATTCCGAAAGAAATTCTGCTGTATTTTTTGGATTCAGAGTATCTTCATATTGACTCTGAGTTTCAGGTAAATATTAGATATTTTTCTTTTTATTTAATATTTATTTATCAATTTCAAAAATCTTTTTTTTTTTTGAGGGGGGGTATTGCAGCTCACTTTCTTTTTCTTTTGTTATATTGCAGGTATTCTCTGCTGCCATCAGTTGGATTACACAGGAAATAACTGATAGACTTTGTTGGATTCTTGACATTTTAAAACGAGTGAAATTATCTTTAATTTCAAGTAAACTAATAGAAAAATCAATTGATGAGTGCTCTGACATCAGATTGAAAGTTAACCTTAAACAGCAGATAAACTTGGCTAAAAAGGAAGCCTCCTTTTATGTCCAGCCAAGAATTTGTACTAGAAAGAAAATTTATGTCATAGGTGGATCAAAGAACGAACTCATTAGATTATGGAATAGATCAGAGGAATATATGTTTAAAAGTGTCGAATGTTTTGATACCTTTAAGAAGGAATGGCAGAAAGTTTGCCCCATGAAAAATATAAGAATTTGGCCAGAAATAGCAGTCTTACGTGGACAAATTTTCGTTGTTGGAGGGGTTGGAGAGGAGATACCCTCTCCGATTTTGGCGGTTGGCGAAGTTTATAATCCACAGGAAGATAATTGGACTGGGATATCTTCTATGGTTACCCCACGATGTGATTTTGGATTATGCGCTCATGGAGATTACCTTTATGCCTTCGGTGGTTGGACGGGATCGGTCGTCGAAAAAAGTATTGAAAGATATGACCCTATTACAGATGAGTGGAGATTATTAGAATCAAATATGCCAGAAGCTAGAAAAAAGTAAGTACAATTGTAATGTTAAAAATCAACCATTTTCAAATTAGATTTACTGACTGATAGTAACTGATAATGAGAAAATGTAGCAGTAGCCTGTACTGTTTTTTTTTCTTTTTCTCCTTTTCTTTTCTTTTACAGGATGGGAATAGTAGAACATCGAGGTCTTATTTACATTATTGGTGGATATACGTACACTTACAATCCCCTGCATGATCTTCTCTCATACAATCCTGTGACTGGGGAGTGGAAGAATCTAGCACCAATGCTAGGTCCACCATCTAAGACGATAGGCGTTGCAGTTTTAGATAACTTTTTGTACGTAGTAGGTGATAATAATGGGAAAAAATCAATGGAAAGATATTCTTTTGAACAGGTAAGATTATGAGATTATATACGATAAAGTTTGAATTTTCTATTTATAATACTTAGTGAAAAGGGATAAAAATTTTATGACCTCCCTCCCTTCCTTTTACCTTTTTTCTTTTACTTTCTCACAGAACAAATGGTTTAAGTGTTCATCAATGTATTTCGGTCATAGCCCAGCAGTTGTTGCTACAAATTCTCTGTTATATGTCATAGGCGGTGACTACAGTAGAAATTATAATAGCCTGGTAAGGAAGAATGAAAAGAATGCTTAATGAAAAATGATAATATTTATTAATAATCTTTATAATCCAAAGTTTTAACCTCAAACTATTTTTTTTTCTTTTTAGATATCTGTCGCTAATGTGGAGTATTTCGACCCTAAGAATAATAGGTGGATAAACTGTACATCACTCCCTGAGGGTCGGTCTGATGCTAGAGCAGTTTCAATTTGACAATCTTATCTGAACTACCTACTGATGTAGAAATATTATCAGCTGATGGATCAGTTGTGAAGGTGAGCGAGAAATATATTTTTTGCATACAATCACATCAGCTGCCTCACTTATGGGAAGACTGCCACAACCATCCCAGAGACAAATAAAAAAAAATCTGATGTGCCCTTACACTTCCTCACTCTCCCTTACACCCCCTCACTCTCCCCTCCTTCTAGTCACAGCCCAGCCGGCATTTGATATTATTAACATAAAATGAACCGGAAACTTGATATCTCTTCTCTCCCAAGCTCAAGATCAAGAATATCCCACGAGAAACTTTAAAGTCTCTTCATCCTCCTCTCATCTCTCTTCAACACACACACTTAAAATAAAAAAATAAAATACTTCTGTTGCTGGCTGTAGTTTATAGTTGTTACTGTTTGAAGAAGCAACAGAAGAATCACCACCACAACCACCACCACTACCACCACCACCACCACCATCACCACGGGTATTACCAGATATCACCACACCACTACTAAAAACAAAACTGACAACTGGTTAGTATTACATTAGTATCTGAAGATGGCGGCTGCACGTGTGGAGATCTCTCATTACGAGGAGGAGGAGGAGGAGGAGTGTAAATCTTATCCTAACTACCTGCAAGACTGCATACATTTCCTCTGGCAGTTACAACAGTTATGTGATGTAGAAATATTATTAGCTGATGGATCAATTATGAAGGTGAGTGAGTGATATATCTTTCTCTGCCCTCCATCACCCAAATCTTAAAAAACAAAAACTGATGGATTACATTTTATTTCACAGGCTCACCGTGGAATACTGTCAGGAGGAAGCGATTATTTTAAGACAATGTTTACGTGTGGATTTGCTGAGAAAACAACACAGTCAATAGAAATGAAGTCTATGAAACCCAATATATTACAACTGCTCGTCCACTTCATATATACTGGTAAGGGGAAACATTTTAAGTTTTCATAATGCTGCTATACTTATATTTAAATTAAAACGAAATACATTATGAATAAAAAACTTTTTTTTAATACTTTAGGAAAAATGAAGATAACAGTGGAAAATGCACAGGAGTTAATTGCGGCTGCGAACATGCTGATGATGTCCCGTGCTGTACGGTTTTGTACAGACTTTCTTAAGAGTGAACTTCATTCATCTAATGCTATGGGAATTTACCGGTATGTGCAGTATAATAATTAATTATTTTCAAACTATTTATATAATACGACGTAACTAATTCCATATTGTTTTTTTTTTAAACAGGTTTGCTAAGGCCCATTATTTAGTAAGGTTGCTGCATTCTTCGCGGGATTTCATCTTTTCCAATTTCGTAGAAGTGACAATGGAGGAAGAATTTCTTGAGATTCCGAAAGAAATTCTACTGTATTTTCTTGAGTCAGAGTATCTTCATATTGACTCTGAGTTTCAGGTAAAATAATTTTTTTTATTTAATATTACAAACTTTCAACTGACTTTATATAATAAAGTTTTAATCCCCAACTATCAAAATTAACTTTCTCTATTATTTATTGCAGGTATTCTCTGCTGCTATTAGATGGATTACACGAAGAACTAATAGATATGGTTGTTGGTATTTTGACATTTTAAAACGAATGAAATTATCTTTAATTTCAAGTAAACTAATAGAAAAATTAATTAATGAATGCTCCTCTGATATTAGATTTAAGGTTAACCTTAAACAGCAGACAAACTTGGCGGCCAAAAGGGCAGCCTTATATGTCCAGCCAAGAATTTGTACTCGAAAGAAAATTTATGTCATAGGTGGATTAAAGAAAGAAAACTATTACCAAAATAAATTTAAAAAAAGTGTCGAATGTTTTGATATCTTTAGGCAGATATGGCAGAAAGTTTGCCCCATGAAAATTGTGAGAAATTCACCAGGAATAGCAGTCTTACATAGAAAAATTTTCGTTGTTGGAGGGATTGGAAAGGAGAGTCAGATTTTGACGGATGGCGAAGTTTATAATCCACAGGAAGATTATTGGACTGGAATATCTTCTATGGTGATCCCACGGTGTAATTTTGGATTATGCGCTCATGGAGGTTATCTCTATGCCTTCGGTGGTTGGATGGGATCGGTTATGGAAAAAAGTATTGAAAGATATGACCCTATTACAGATGAGTGGAGATTATTAGAGTCAAATATGCCAGAAGGTAGATCCAAGTAAGTATAATAACAATTTTCAAATTGGATTTACTGACTAATAGTATGAACACTGATAATAATGAGAAAATATAACAGTGCCTATACTTTTTTTCTTTTTACAGCATGGGTATAGTAGAACATCAAGGTCTTATTTACATTGTTAGTGGATATATGGACTTTTACAACCCCATGCATGATCTTCTCTCATACAATCCTGTAACTGGGGAGTGGAGAGCACTAGCAGGACGTGCTCCACCTCGCTACAACTACATGGGTGTTGCAGTTTTGAATAACTTTTTGTATTTAGTGGGTGGCCTTCTTTTTAATGAAGAAGCGGAAAAATCACTAGAAAGATATTCTTTTGAACAGGTAATATGTATGCTTATTATTATATACAATACAATTTGAATTACAGTAGTGAAAATTGTATAACTCCCTTCTTTTCTCTTTCCCAAGACAACAATAATGATTTAAGTATATTGAAGAAGAATTTTTGTAATACTGTATGTAGTGTAATGAAAAGAGGGAGTAAAAATTGTATAACCTCCCCTCCCTTCTTTTCCTTCCACAGAACAAATGGTTTAAGTGTTCATCAATGAATTTTGATCGAAGTATCCCAGCAGTTGTTGCCACAAATTCTCTGTTATATGTCATAGGAGGTCACCGTCAAAATAACCTTAATAGATTGGTAAGAAAGGGAGAATGGCAATGGAAGAATGAAATGAATTAATTATATGGAATGAATTATATTACAATTTTAACCTTCTAACTTTTTTTTTAGGTATCTGTCGCTAATGTGGAATATTTCGACCCTAAGAATAATAAGTGGATGAACTGTACATCACTCCCTGAGGGCCGGTCTTATTCTAGAGCAGTCTTAATTTGACTCCCTAAACCTTCCTCAAGACTGATATTATCTTCATATTTAATCCATTTAAAATAAAAAAGGTTTGCTTTCTATCTTTTAATTTAACTTACCTAACATGAAATTTGAAAGTATCCTTATAATTAGTATCTGAAGCTGCATGTGTGGTGGAGCTTTCTCATCACGAGGAGGAGAAGGAGGAGGAGGAATGTAAATCTTATCCTAACTACCTGACGATATACATTTCCTCTGGCAGTCAGAAAAGTTATGTGATGTAGAAATATTATTAGCTGATGGATCAGTTGTGAAGGTGAGTAAGTGATACTTTAGGAAACATCGAGATAACAGTGGAAAACGCACAGGAGTTAATTGCGGCTGCGTAGTAGACTAAAATCAATCAAATTTATCTACTCTTTTTTTGACATTTTGAAACAAGTGAAATAAAGCTTATCCTTAAAAACATACAGTAGCAGCAGCAGCAAAACTTTTGTCCAGCCAAGAATTTGTACTCGAAAGAAAATTTATGTTATAGGTGGAATTAGATACAGATCAAATGAGTATTGATTAATGATGGAAAACTGATATTAATATATACAATGTTTTAAAGGTATCTGTCGCTGTGGAGTATTTTGACCTTAAGAATAACTACTTGAGGGTCGGTCTGATGCTAAAGCAGTCACAATTTGACTGACTTTCTTTCTCTTCTCTCTCTCTTCTTGACACTTCCCCAAGCTCAAGAAGCTGAAGAATATCCAACAAAGAAACTTGCAGGTGTGGTTAGTGTTACATTAGTATTTGAGAATGGCGGCGACACGTGTGGATCACAAATTTAATCTATTTAAACTGCTCATAGAATTTATATATACTGGTGAGGATAATTTCGGAACAAAATAAAAACTTAAATTAATGTATAGTTTTTACTACCTATCCCAGGCTGCTGTAGTTTAGTTTTGCTACTGTTTGGAGGTGAGGACGGAAGCATCACCACCACCACCTCTTACCTCCCCCTCTCTGTTAAAATTACCAGATATCACCACTACCACTATTTACAAAAAACACTGGTGGGTTGTGTGGTTAGTGTTACATTAGTATTTGAGAATGGCGGCGACACGTGTGGATCACAAATTTAATCTATTTAAACTGCTCATAGAATTTATATATACTGGTGAGGATAATTTCGGAACAATCGAGATAACAAAGGAAAACATACAGGAGTTAATTGTGACTGCAAACATGATAGGAATACCCCAGGTTGTACGTATTTGTACAAACTTTCTCAGGAGAGAACTTCATCCATCCAATGCTTTAAGAATTTACAGGTACGTACAGTATAATAATTAATATTATTTTCTTGTTTTGATGTTTTTTATTTGTATATGTACGTATACAATGCAGAATTTGAACTAAATCCCATTTTTTTTCTTTTTGTTGGGGGAACAGGTTTGCTGAGGCCCATAATTTAGTATCGTTGCTGCATTCTTCACGGGACTTCATCTTGACCAATTTCGTGGAAGTGACAAAGGAGCAGGGGGCTTGAAGAGAAACCTTCCTCAAGACTGACATTATCTTCATATTTAATCCATTTAAAATAAAAAAAAGCTTGCTTTCTATCTTTTTAACTTACCTAATATGAAATTTTAAAGTAATAAAGAACTGACCAAAGCTGTCTAACGTTGCTTATCACATACGTTACAGCAAAACTTTGCTTCCTTGTCATGTGACTTATGCTTAACTATAGTGAAAAAGAAGTAAAAAATTGTCATGTAGAGGGAGTATTTTGATCCTAAGGATAACAAATGAAGAAACTGTACACCCCTGAGGAACGGTATGATGAGTAAAAAAGTGTATATTTTTTTGCTTTTTTTTATCCAGGTCTTCTTTAATGGGCCCCAGGGTTAATGGGGCCTCTAATCTTAATGGGCCCTTAGTCTTAATGGGTCCCAGTTTTAATGGACACTCAACTAACTTAACACACAAATATTACATATTAAATTACCCCAACATACTGAAAGAAAGAGGCTGCTGGCTGTAGTTTAGTTTTGTTATTGTTTGAAGAAGCAACGGAAGCACCACCACCACCACCACCACCACGGGTATTACCAGATATCACCACACAACTAAAAACAAAACTGACAACTGGTTAGTATTACATTAGTATCTGAAGATGGCGGCTGCACATGTGGAGCTCTCTCATCACAAGGAGAAAGAGGAGCAGGAGAAGGAGGAGGAAGAGGAATGTAAATCTTATCCGAACTACCTGCTAGACTACATACATTTCCTCTGGCAGTCACAAGAATTATGTGATGTAGAAATATTATTAGCTGATGGATCAGTTATGAAGGTGAGTAAGTGAAACATTTATCTGTAAGTGAAGAAACATTTACCTCCTACCTATATATCTTTCTCTGCCCGCCCTCCATCACTCACTCACCATTTACACACATATAGGGGGAGGGAAACTTAACTACACTGCCCACACTCACCATCCGTTTAGGAGAAGTCAGTGGAACATGGTTAACAAAGTATATCCAGTACAGTAGAAGAAATTTCCCTGTTCCCCCAACTTCCCTTCTTCTCCGACACAAATAAAGAGTTACTTATCCAACTTTCTTCTCACGAGAGAATCAATGTTTCCAAGCAGTGATTTGATTTGGGCGGCTTGCTTCCTAGCAGTGGTTTGATTTGGGCGGCTTGCTTCCTAGCAGTGGTTTAATTTTGTTGTCTGTCCGTCCATAATTCTCTCACTTTTATGTAATCTGATGGGATTACATTTTATTCCACAGGCTCACCGTGTAATACTGTCAGCTGGAAGCAAATATTTTAAGACCATGTTTACGTGTGAATTTGCTGAGAAAACAACACAGTCAATAGAAATGAAGTTCATGAAACCCAATATATTACGACTGCTCGTCGACTTCATATATACTGGTAAGGGAAAATATTTTAAGTTTTCATAGTGCTATGCTGCTATCTATATGTAAAAATTTTATTTTGTTGCAAATGAATAAATGAATTTTTTTTTTCTTTTTTTGTCAAAAACTTTAGGAAACATCGAGATAACAGTGGAAAATGCACAGGAGTTAATTGCGGCTGCGAACATGTTGATGATATCACGTGCTGTACTTGTTTGTATAGACTTTCTCAAGAGCGAACTTCATCCATCTAATGCTTTGGGAATTTACCGGTACGTGCAGTATAATAATAATAGTTAATTATTTTCCAACTGTTTATATAATATGTATTTTTATCTGTCCTATACGTAATTTTTTTTTTTTTTTTTTAAAAACAGGTTTGCTGAGGCCCATAATTTAGTAAGGTTGCTGCATTCTTCCCGGGACTTCATCTTCTCCAATTTCGTAGAAGTGACAATGGAGCAAGAATTTCTTGAGATTCCGAAAGAAATTCTGCTGTATTTTTTGGATTCAGAGTATCTTCATATTGACTCTGAGTTTCAGGTAAAATGTAAATATTTTTTTTTTATTTAATATGTACAACTTTCAATTGACTTTTATTTACAAGATTATTAACCCGAATTTATCTTTCTATTATTTATTGCAGGTATTCTCTGCTGCTATCAGATGGATTACACAAGCACAAGATATAAATAATAGATATTGTTGTTGGAATTTTGACATTTTAAAACGACTGAAATTGCCTTTAATTTCAAGTAAACTAATAAAAAAAGCAATTAATGAGTGCTCCGCTGATATTAAATTGAAGGTTAACCTTAAAAAGCAGACAAACTTGGCTAAAAAGGAAGCAGCCTTTTCTGTCCAGCCAAGAATTTGTACTCGAAAGAAAATTTATCTCATAGGTGGATTCATGAAAGAACTCTATATATCAGATGGGTTTACATTTAAAAGTGTCGAATGTTTTGATATCTTTAGGCAGAAATGGCAGAAAGTTTGCCCTATGAAAATTGTGAGAAGTTCACCAGGAATAGCAGTCTTAAATGGGAAAATTTTCGTTGTTGGAGGGAGTGGAGAGGACAGTCAGATTTGGGCAGATGGCGAAGTTTATGATCCACAGGAAGATTATTGGACTGGAATATCTTCTATGGTGATCCCACGGTCTGATTTTGGATTATGCGCTCATGGAGGTTTTCTCTATGCCTTCGGTGGTTGGACGGGATTGGTCATCGAAAAAAGTATTGAAAGATATGACCCTATTGCAGATGAGTGGACATTATTAGAGTCAAATATGCCAGAAGGTAGATCCAAGTAAGTACAATAACAATTTTCAAATTGGATTTACTGACTGATAGTGTGAACTACTGATAATAATGAGAAAATATAAGTGCCTATACTTTTTTTTTTTTTTTACAGAATGGGTATAGTAGAAAATCAAGGTCTTATTTACATTGTTAGTGGACGTATGGACTCTTATAACCCCTTTCATGAACTTCTCTCATACAATCCTGTAACTGGGGAGTGGAGAGATCTAGCAGCACTGAGTGCTCCACCTCGCTACAACTACATGGGTGTTGCAGTTTTGAATAACTTTTTGTATTTAGTGGGTGGTCTTTTTAATGAAGAAGGGGAAAAATCACTAGAAAGATATTCTTTTGAACAGGTAATGTGCATGCTTATAATTATATACAATACAATTTGAATTATAGTAGTGAAAAGGGAGTAAAAATTATATAACTCCCTTCTTTTCTCTTTCCAAAGACAATAATAATAATTTAAGTAATATGGGAGAAGAATTTTTGTAATAATGTAGTGTTGTATAACCTCCCTTCTTTTCCTTTCCACAGAACGAATGGTTTAAGTGTTCATCAATGAATTTTTGGCGAAGTATCCCAGCAGTTGTTGCCACAAATTCTCTGTTATATATCATAGGTGGTCATCGTCCCAATGACCACCTTGAACTGGTAAGAAAGGAAGAATGGAAATGGAAGAATGAAATGAATAAATTATATTACAAATTTAACCACCTAACCACCTGTTTTTTTTTCTAAAGGTATCTGTCGCTAATGTGGAGTGTTTCGACCCTAAGACTAATAAGTGGATGAACTGTACATCACTCCCTGAGGGCCGGTCTTATGCTAGAGCAGTCTTACTTTAACTCCCTTCGACATCCCCAATCAAGAAAACTTCCCTCAAGACTGACATTTGTCTCCTCCATATTTAATCCATTTTAAATAAAAAAAAGCTTGTTTCCTATCTTTTTTAACTTACCCTAACATGAAATTTGAAAGTATTCTTATAAAGTATCCTTGTGGATCAATGGTACCATTGTTTAATTTTGTCGAAATATCCCAGCAGTTGTTGCCTGCCACAAATCCTCTGTTATGTCATAGGCGGTTACGGTTATCATAACTTGGTAAGGAAGAATGGAAATAAGAATAAAATATATTAATAATTCCTAAATATTTTTATAATAATCCTTTATAATAAGTTTTAATCTAAAACCTGAGGATAAAAAGTGGAGAAACTGTACATCACTCCCTAAGGAACGGTCTAATGATGCTTTAGTAGTCTCAATTTGACTCGAAACCTTGAGTCTATCCCTCCTCCTAATCACAGCCTATTAACATAAAATGTACCGGGAACTTGATATATTAATGCTAGAGCAGTCTCAATTTACTCTCTTCTCTCTCCCAAGCTGACAACTGGTTAGGTTAGTCTTACATTAGTATCTGAAGATGGCGGCTGCACGTGTGGAGGAGCTCTCTCATCACGAGGAGGAGGAGGAGGAGGAATGTAAATCTTATCCTAACTACCTACTAGACGATATACATTTCCTCTGGCAGTCAGAAAAGTTATGTGATGTAGAAATATTATTAGCTGATGGATCAGTTGTGAAGGTGAGTGAGTGAAACATTTATCTGTGAGTGAAGAAACATTTCTCTGCCTGCCCTCCATCACCCACCCATCATTTACACACCATATCGGGGGAGGGAAACTTAACTACACCGCCCACACTCACCCTCCATTCCTTATTACCGCCCAGGAGAAGTCAGTGGAACATGATTAACAAAGTCTATCCAGTGCAGTGGAAGAAATTTCCCTGCTCTCCCCTAACTTCCTTTCTCCCCCGACACAAATAAAGAGCTGTTTATCCAACTTTCTTCGCACGATAGAATCAATGTTTCCTAGCAGTACTTTGATTTGGGCTTGCTTCCTAGCAGTGGTTTAATTTTGGTTTGCTTCCAGGTAATGGTTTGATTTTGTTGTCCGTCCGTCCATAATTCTCTCACTTTTATGTAACTTCACAAAACCTATGCTATGACAACGACTCTTCACCCAGATTTTTACGTCCCCTTAATGTATGTATAAAGGCAGTATGAACGAACTAACAAATTTTAAAAAATAAACGATGGGGATTACATTTTATTCCACAGGCTCACCGTGTAATACTGTCAGCGGGAAGCGACTATTTTAAGACCATGTTTACGTGTGGATTTGCTGAGAAAACAACACAATCAATAGAAATGAAGTCTATGAAACCCAATATATTAAAACTGCTTATCGACTTCATATATACTGGTAAGGGAAAATATTTTAAGTTTTCATAGTGCTAAGCTGCTATCTATAAGTAAAATTTTTATTTTGTTGCAAATGAAGAAATGAAATATTTTTTTTTTCTTTTTTTGTAAAAATACTTTAGGAAACATCGAGATAACAGTGGGAAACGCACAGGAGTTAATTGTGGCTGCGAACATGCTGTTCATGCCCCGTGCTGTATTTGTTTGTACAGACTTTCTCAAGAGCGAACTTGATCCATCCAATGTTTTGGGAATTTACAGGTAACGAATTTTTATTTTGTTTCTGTTCTGTTTTAATTTGATTGATTCTGATTCGATCTAATCCTATTCTAGAGAGGATATTTTTTTATTTTTTTTATTTTTTTTTTTTTTACAGGTTTGCTCAGGCCCATTATTTAGTAAGCTTGTTGAATGGTTCGCGGGATTTCATCTTCTCCAATTTCGTAGAAGTGACAATGGAGCAAGAGTTTCTTGAGATTCCTAAAGAAACTCTACTATATTTTTTGGATTCTGAGTATCTTCATATTGACTCTGAGTTTCAGGTAAATATTATATATTTTTCTTTTTATTTAATATTTATTTATTGAAATTTTATTTATTTTTTCTTTTTTTATTGCAGCTCTCACTTTCTTTTTCTTTTCTTTTGTTATATTGCAGGTATTCTCTGCTGCCATCAGATGGATTACACAAGAAATAACTGATAGACTTTGTTGGATTCTCGATATTTTAAAACGAGTGAAATTGTCTTTAATTTCAAGTAAACTAATAGAAAAAGCAATTAATGAGTGCTCTGACATCAGATTGAAAGTTAACCTTAAACAGCAGATAAACTTGGCTAAAGAGGAAGCCTCCTTTTATGTCCAGCCAAGAATTTGTAATCGAAAGAAAATTTATGTCATAGGTGGATCAAGGAAAGAATTCAATATAATATGGAATAGATCAGAGGAATATCTACTTAAAAGTATCGAATGTTTTGATACCTTTAGGCAGAAATGGCAAAAAGTTTGTCCTATGAAAATTGGGAGAATTTCACCAGGAATAGAAGTCTTACATGGAAAAATTTTCGTGGTTGGAGGGGTTGGAGAGATAGACGCTCAGATTTTGGCGGATGGCGAAGTTTATGATCCACAGGAAGATTATTGGACTGGAATATCTTCTATGGTAATCCCACGGTGTGATTTTGGATTATGCGCTTATGGTGGTTATCTCTATGCCTTCGGTGGTTGGACGGATTCAATGGAAATAGGAAAAAATATTGAAAGATATAACCCTATTACAGATGAGTGGAGATTATTAGAGTCAAATATGCCAGAAGCTAGATCCAAGTAAGTACAATAACCAGTACAATAACAATTTTGATTTACTGATAGTGTGAATTACTAATAATAATAATGAGAAAATGTCGCAGTAACCTGTACTGTTTTTTCCTTTTTTTTTCTTTTTATAGCATGGGTATAGTAGAACATCGAGGTCTTATTTACATTATTGGTGGATATACGGACACTTACAATCCCCTGCATGATTTTCTCTCATACAATCCTGTAACTGGAGAGTGGAAGAATCTAACATCAATGCAAGGTCCACCGTCTAAGACGATAGGCGTTGCAGTTTTAGATAATTTTTTGTACGTAGTGTGTGATGGTATTCTGGATGAAAATTCAATGAAAAGATATTCTTTTGAGCAGGTAAGATTATTTACCAGTACTTAAAGTTTAATATTGTAACCAGGAAGTGGAAGAATTGTTGTAATACTTTAGGAACAAAGGGAAAAAATTGTATACCCCCCTCCCGCCCCCTTACTCTTGTTTTAACCTTTTTCTTTTACTTTCCCACAGAACCAATGGTTTAAGTGTTCGTCTTCAGAGTATTTGGGTCGAAGTAGCCCAGCAGTTGTTGTCACAAATTCTCTGTTATATGTCATAGGCGGTTACTGGAGTGGTTTGAATGGAATTGGAATGGTAAGGAAAGAAGAATAAAAGAATGATTAATATAAAATGATAAATATTGATAATAATATTTATAACTTTTTTTTTTCTTTTTAGATTTCTCTCGCTAATGTGGAGTATTTCGACCCTAAGAATAACAAGTGGATAAGCTGTACACCACTCCCTGAAAGTCGGACTAATGCTATAGCAGTCTTAATTTGACTACTCGAAACTTTGAAAACCTATATACTGATTTCCTCCTCCTCCTCCTCCTTCATTCTCACTCATTCTTATTTTAGTAAATAAAAAGCAAATAAATAAATGTATAGTTTTTTACTACCCTATAGGATATAATCCCAACATACTGCCAACTACCTGCTAGGTCACATTGCAAACTAGCCAATAGAGAAAACAAAAATACTCAGTTTTTCACATATATATGGTTTTGCGGTTTTGCAGTATGTGATAAAAAAACAATGCATAAAATAATTTTAATAGTGTTTATTTGGTTCGGTTAAAATAATAACAATGTGCAAAAAGAAATTAAATCTTTTCCATTCCATACATTAAAGGAAATTTGAACATTTCATTTGAACATTTCATCCGGAATACTTTATTTTTTCACAAAGATCTGTATTCCTCTATGACGCAATACCAAAGGGGGGAGTATAAGTTCCTTATGGATATCTTCTGAAGATTCTACTTCTAGGATAATTATCTCTCCTGTAAGGGTAAGGGTTTTCACAAAGATGTTGTTTCCTCCTCTAATAAGACGCAGTGTAGATTCCTTCTGGATATTGCAGTCAGAAAGAATGCGACAATCCTCCAACTGCTTACCAGCAAAGATCAATTTCTGCAGCTTTGGGGAGGTGCCTTCCCTATCCTGAATTTTTGCCTTTACATTTTCAATGGTGTCTGAAGGTTCTACTTCTAGGGTAAACTTTCCTGTAAAGGTTTTCACAAAGATTTGCATTCCTCCTCTAAGACGCAATACCAAATGGAGTGTAGATTCCTTCTGGATATTGTAGTCAGAAAGAATGCGACAATCCTCCAACTGCTTACCAGCAAAGATCAATCTCTGCTGGTCTGGGGGGATGCCTTCCTTATCCTGAATTTTTGCCTTTACATTTTCAATGGTGTCTGAAGGTTCTACTTCAAGAGTAATAGTCTTTCCAGTGAGGGTTTTCACGAAGATCTGCATGATGTACTGCAAAGAAAACAATTCATTAGTAAAATTTTAGCCACAGTATAATTCTTAAATAATCTTAAATTTAAATATCTACAAGATTGTTGAGCATGTTATAGTAGGTAGCAAGGCAACCATTATATATGAAAACACAAGACTACTACATTAATATTTTATACACATATTGTACAGTACACATAAATCTTGGCTTTAACCAAAGTAACTACATACCCCCCCACACACACATACAGTATAGAGCAATAACACATGTACTCCACAGATGTTCATTTGCAGTCTATCTTCTGTGTAACCTAGCTATGCATATACAAATATAGTATAATAAAATTAAATGCCTAGCATTTATGGGCTTTAGGCAGAAATGGCAGAAAGTTTGCCCAATGAAAATTGAGAGATGTGGGCCAGAAGTAGCAGTCTTACATATAGAAATTGAACCGGCAGACGATGAACTTTATAATCCTGATCCGCTTTTGGAAGATAATTTGATCGGGGTATCTTCTATGGTGCTCCCACGGTGATTTTGGATTATGCGCTCATGGAGGTTATCTCTATGCCTTTGGTGGTTTGACTGTCTTAGGAGTGTGGCTGTAGTTTAGTTTTGTTACTGTTTGAAGAAGCAACGGAAGCACCACCACCACCACCACCACCATTACGGGTATTACCAGATATCACCACACCACTAAAAATAAAACTGACAACTAGTTAGTATTACATTAGTATCTGAAGATGGCGGCTGCACATGTGGAGCTCTCTCATAACGAGAAGGAGGAGGAAGAGGAATGTAAATCTTATCCGAACTACCTGCTAGACTACATACATTTTCTCTGGCAGTCACAAGAATTATGTGATGTAGAAATATTATTAGCTGATGGATCAGTTGTGAAGGTGAGTAAGTGAAACATTTACCTGTATTTATCTCCTACACTTTCTTCTCTGCCTGCCCTCCATCACCCACCTTTTATACCCATATCGAAGTACACCGTCCACACTCTACCCGCCGCCGCCCTAACTGCCCAGGAGTCTAGGACCAAGGAATAGTGGAAGAAATCTCCTAACTTCTCTGAATGCTTCCTAGAAGTGGTTTAATTTTTGGTTTGTTTGCTTCCTAGCAGTGGTTTGATTTTGGCTTGCTTCCTAGCAGTGGTTTGATTTTGGCTTACTTCCTATTGTTCGACCAGTCTACATCTATAGGTACCTCACCGCACTGTTATTATGGCCTCTCTCATTTTACATCCTCCACTTGCCCCATGACCTCCTCCTATAGGTCCCAGGCCGTTACCAACATTTTTCCTTCTCACAAAATATCCCTCCTCCCAGTCCTCCTCCCAGTCATAGGCCTGGTATTTGACGACATATTAATGTCACGTCAATCTTTATCATAACCAGGAACTCC